TGTTTCGAAATGGCCTTAATTTGTGTTGAGGATCACTACCTCACTACGAACACTGCCACTTCTAGATCGCAATGAGATACTCTTATCGACTTGGGGAGTTTTTTTGATCGTAAAATCAATCACTGATCTACTAAGTGTACATGTAACAAATAGCGACTCTAAATACAGCATGGTGACGAGGATTTGGGGCAGGAAATGTTGACTGCTTTATCGACAATCGCTGGGTAGTGTGCATTAGTGCGTGGTACCCACCTAAAAGTAAGCGACCACTCGGGCAACGCCGAAAAGGTGGCACACATACGTCGCAGTTAGTGGGACAATGAAAGGAAAGAGGATCAAAAGTGGATCAAGATGAGGATACGGGAAAGCAGTGGATAAGGTAAATCCTCGGATTAGGATTTATCTTATTTACCTAAGATAAATCCTTGGATTAGAGTTGAACCCTCTTTGATTTAATTAGGGTTTACCTCATTCACTACTTAAAACCTTTTGGATGACACCTGGCTTTGTTGGTGATAATCGACGTGCTTTTTTTGCTCAGCGTTAAATTGAGAGTAGTTCTTTTTTTAGCAGCGATGTAAGCATATTCTGTAATTTGCATATGTGTCGATTTGCATGCCGTCATCTGCCTTGCGCTGGTGGTGAACGTCAGCGGCGGGATGCTGCAACGGTTGTTCCAGCAGACAGTTTTTCTGCTGCACAAGTGCTACGGACAAATTATCGAGTGGAAAATGGACGCAAAAAACAGGTGACTTGATTTTATTCATCGTTGCAGGAAATATAGACGCATTACGGTGACAGCACGTTTGCGATTGCATTTGCACGTGTATGTTTGTGCGATATTATGAACGTATGTATGTGTATGCATGCATGTTTATATGCGTGTGTATGTGTTGGTTTGTACAAAAGAAGAAATTTAGAGTAAAAAATTAATAAATATAACATATAAATAATGTAGATTAAATTGTACATACAAATATGATTATATTTTGTATATATTTTAATTATATTTATGCATATGTATGTTTGAGTCTGTGTACGTGTGTGTGCATGTGTGTGTGTGCGTGTGTGTGTGAGTATGTGTCTTGATAATTTAACTTGAAAGCTACTTAAGGCGAAAACCTACAAAAATTATCTGTTAATACCACTTACTGATGCACTGTTCATCGGTTTCCAGCAAGGTGAGCAACATGCCATGCATTTTTTAGTATTTTTCCTTTCGATTTTATTTTCTCATAAATTTATTGCTTTTTCAAATAAAACTGATTACAAAAACACATAATTGCGCGCTGCTTTCCTGTCTCTCACTGGTGCACTCCACAATCCATTCGTTTGAATAAGAAAATGTAGTACTGTTCGGCGGAATGTGTTAGCGAAGTGGAACATTGAATACATACTTTATTCGTTGTTACCGGAATTTTAACAATTTACAAACTTTTATTTGCATTTTCGTACTTTTTTTTTCAAAAATTTCACGGCGTAATTTCTGCACTTCCGCTAAAGAATTGAATTGTTACTATGTTATCGTTTTCATTATTATTGCTAGCATGTTATTATTTCACTTATCCAAATATTTATATTAATACGTTCTTCCGCATAGGGTGCAATATAAAGTACTATATTATTAATCACATTATTATCGGCCTTATCATTATTGTTAATACTATTATTGTTATAATTACTATATGCCATTAATTTTAAGGATGTTATTATAACTATTATTGTTGTCATTATTATTATTACTATTATTATGATTATTATTATTATCAATATTATAAAATGAAAACAACTATTCAGACAACATTCGAAGAGTGACTTACGAATGTGAATTCCAGCGGTTTTCAGTGTTGTTAAATTATGATATTACGATCTGTGCTTGAGTAGTCCAAATTGAGAAAATGATGTCCTTGGGGGCCTGATGTCCTTGAGGCGTTTTTCAATGAAGCTATGGCCTTGGGGTTCTGTTGATGAAGTGGGAACGGAAGTACATGTTAAAATGATTTTTGTCCATTTCGAAAC